CCTCCCTGGTACAGTACCGAGGTACATAGAATTTCGAAGGTTGAGTCTTTAAGCAAGGCAGCTCCCACACCTGTACTCTACCACCTATCTACCGTCAACTCATGGACCGGGGCCAACGGCTCTACAGGGTCCGGCAATTTAACTGCTACATTACTTCAACAGTCATTATCACGTTGCACACGAAACTGCATTGGACGACCCCTCATCGCTTTGTTTACATTGTGTCTTGGCTGTCAGAGGATGTATGTTTTACTTTTGTAATCGAGTACCGAGCTGGAAAACGGTAGAAGGACATAGTTCGTGAGCTGTCCGAGTTATGTGTTTGCAGAAGTTTTGTACACCGTACAGTCAAAAGATACCGTCAGACCGGAAGTACCAAATACGGTATGGTGGCCCAAGTAACATTGCAAGTTTAATTAAGGTTTTAAATCACTCTATAAGTCTAAATCATGGTCTACAGAACCCTCATAAAACCCAAATCGTTACTTGGGGGTGACGTCGAGCTACTGTGGTGAAGATCGTCAAGAGGCGCCTTAAGAGACGTAGTTCCACTAAATTGACGGAGGATCTCAACGTATCGGATCGAAGTCTCCGTCGGATAAACTTCAGACCAAGCCCTACAAGATCCAGAAAGTTAAAGACTCTCCGGTGAGGCAGAAACAAGAACGGATAAAAAGAGCAAATACGCTGCTGAAGAGGGCCACGGAAGATAGGTTGGAGAATATCGTGTTTACCGACGAGAAACTCTTCACCGTAAAGCAGTTCGTGAATTAGCAGAACGACATAGTTTGGTTACCAGAAAGATCACGAACCCATACCGACGTTCTGACGGCCATCAGGTGACAGAAACCAGCATCGGTGGTGGTCGGATTCCGCTGGTTTTTGTCCCTGAAGAGTGAAGATCAACCAAAATACATATCGGGAACTTGTTCTACAGAACGTCGTCGAACCGCGGACACGTCGTTATTTTGGTTCCAGGGATTGGGTTTTCCAACAGGACTCGGCGCCGGCTCACAAAGCGAAGAAAACCCAAAACTGAACCCTATGGACTTCGCTGTCTGGAGTATGTTGGAGGCCGAAGTCTGCTCTAAAAAACTACAAGGGACAGTCCTATGGGATTGTACGCAATCTTATTTGTTAACTGGAGCAGGAGCCTATCGATTGACGTATTAAGAATTAAAATCCATCATCTCTGGATCAAAATCAGATTTTTGAAATTGCACCCCCAATGTTGCCTTAAAGTACGTGGTATGTTAGATTTAAACATATCTAGACAGAGCTGGAATTAGGCGTAACAGCTTTTGTAAATAAAGACTTCTATCGATGATTTTTTAGGAATTCAAGGCACGCCCACGCAAACCAACATTACCGTCGGGTTGGGGAAGTCTTACCCTACCTGATGGTGATTTTAGTTCGCGTGAGTCAGCCTTGAAGATCAAGACATCATCGAAAGAAGTCAATGTGTACAAAAGCTGTTAGGAACTATCATCCGATTGATGACCTTGACAAATGTCCAAAACATACTCTTTTACAAATTTATGGTGGTCCTACAAAGGGACCGTTTTGAGTAATGCTGATCTATTAGGGTGTTAAACACTGATGATGCTGGTGAGCTGTATGTTGTTTGGAATGAGGGTGACGCGCTTGGCATAGATGGCCCACAGCGACTCACGAAGAGCTACTGAATCCGATTAATAGCGGTGCGGTTTCATCTTCCTTCTTCGGTGAATGAACGGTCATGTTTACAGGCAGCCACGCGCCGGAAGCACTGCTGCTGCTGCTGATGCCGACGACCGGACACCACCACACACGGTGATTGGACTTAATCCGATCAGTGGTTGAGGGCAGCCTTGATAGCTAGCTGCTTGCGGGGAGCTTTTCCTTGTGTACTGGAGAACACCATCACTCACCACGCGGTGATTGAATAAACATCGTTTGGGGAGACTGGATGGAATTCAACTTTGAAATCTGTGTTAGGGAAATCGTTTTTCGCAAGCAATCGGTGATAATTTTAATTATCATAGCAACAGTTACACGTTCCTGCAAATTTTAAATAGTGAAATTTTGAAAAATGATTAAGTCTTAAATTTAACAGATGCGTAGAAATATTTCTGATCGATTGGTGATAAAACTATTGAAATTGCTTCAGGGGCAGATGAGTTACCTATTAACGTTCAAAATCTTTCATAATTTTGTTACATGTTCCATTTTTGGTTTTCACAAAGTGTACCCCCATATATAAATCACAGACGAAGTCCTACGTCACAACATGAAGGTGTGGAAGTCCTGAAGCGACATCTGGCGGCAGCCTGGGATAAAATACCACAAGAGCACCTGCGGACCTCGTACGATGCGTTCCTCGATCGTCTGCGGCGAGTGGTTAAACTCAAGGGTGAACAAGTTGAGCTTGACTAGTGAATTTTCTGTTTGTTTCAATGTAGCACTTCAATTGCCGGACCCTTTACGAAGACGCGATCAGAGATTGTATGCCCTAGAAAATCCTGAAGGTGCCGACTGGGATTGAACCCAGACCCTTTGGAATGAGAGGCAATCACGCTTACAACTACATTACTGGCATCGTTACATGTATTGTTATAATTCAAATAGTTTCAAACTTATTTACCAGCCTTGTCTAAAGTAAAGCTCAATTTATTATAATAGCATGACAGAAAATAAAAAAAATGTAGTTGATATATCACAGTAAAGAACTTCGTGGAATGGGTCTTATATTATTAATGTTATACAATTTCATACTTCTGGAAAATAGTGCCTTAGGCGAAATAAGCATTTTCTCTTGGCTATAAGTGAGAACTTGGGCGATGTGAAAAGATGTTTTGTCAACGTTGACCGCGCTGAAGTAAGCTTTTCATCACCATCAAACTGAATTATCTACAGAGCCAAATCGTGATTCTTCCATAGTTTGTTTACATTCTTTGATTCTTACACATGATGATGCACTTCCTGATAGTTACGAAATGTTTTTAAAAGGAATACCGATGCATCATGCCTTCATAAAATAGAATAAAGTCGTAGATTTGCCCACGCTATTTTTATTATAATGATTTATTAGTTACACTTTAATCACTTCTGTGACATTTGTGTCGAGCCACGCTATGATTACAATACTGCACTTTGAATTGACTTCAACTGCAATAAAGGATTTTGGTGCATAAATCAATGATTTGCTTTAATAATTGATTCGCCAAACTAAGACCTCATAACACTTTGTAAAACCAAGTTGACAAACACTATGGTTTTCACCTGGGTGTCGCAAAGGCTGGCTTCAAATTTGATCCAATCAAACCCCATTTTTCACTCACAGTATGTATTTCAGTTAGAGTAAATTCCATACCATGAGTGTAAAAAAGGGGTTCCATTGGTTCAATTTTGAAACCAGTCTCCACAACAGCCAACTCGTTTAGACGAAGCATTATGAGGTCTTAGTTTGGTGAACCAATTATTAGAGCATATCATTGATTTATGCACCAAAATCCCTTATTTCAGATGAAGTATATTTTTCCACAACCAAGAAGACACAATATTACGATCATTACATGGATCTAAGATTGGACCCATCGCTAAAAATCTGCTATTTATCCATTTAATCTAGATGAACGCGTCATTGGAACGGTACTAATGGATATATTTGCTATATCGCTATTGAAAATTTAGTCGATTGTTGAATTTATGTATGGGCCCAAATTAGAGACATTTAGGCTGACATTACATTCATTTCCCATATGTGTTAAAATTGTACGCGTTTGCAAATTTGCTTTTCTTGATGAAATTGAAGTGAGTCGAGTCAGATTTTTCCGTTCCTATGACAAACTCGGCACCCAGCCCTATTAGTTGAAAATTTGTAAATTCAAAATTTTTTGAAGAACGTTATACCATTTTATTTTTCAACGAAATAAACCATTCGGCATATAAAATGTGTACCAAACAGCCACGAAAGTTGCGAAATTTCCTTCCGTTGGAAAATAGAATTTCATCTAACAAATTGAAATCCATAATGAAAATCTAACGTCCAGCGATGGCATACAGGTAACATTTCCTACCGTCTGGAACAAAGACAACCTTTGACATTTAAAATCTCCTGTGGCCCGCACAATGCACCCACAGTTGCCCAACTAAAGTCGTCCCTTGTTTTTTTGCGAGTACTGTTGACGATTTCATCTGCTCTCCTTCACCAGGTCACAGAGATGATGATGATGGAAAAGCGCACCATGCACACAACCAACACATTCGCTCCTCTCCTGTGCACACATAAATGCATTGAACGACGACGACGATGAGGATGTTGAGGGTTGCGATCTGATTTTGTGGATCAAGTTGAGTCGTCATTTTAGATACCCAATAGGTAATGATGATGATGATGAAGATGCTGGTGACCATAATCATTAAATGTGGGAGTTTTAAATCCTTCGTTGTTGTTTCGTTTCCTGTCAGTTAGATTCGAATACCAGGACGAAGATTGTGATGAGAGTTCTTTTCCCAACGGCAGTGGAGAAGAGCAAAATCACACCGACACAAACCGACTGACTGCGCGCTGAGCTGAGAGCTGAGCAATTCACATAAACACAGTATAGTAGGTAGTTCCCTTCTCAATATTGCACGGCATACACTCTCCTACAGATGATGGCCGCTGGTGCTGGGATGAAAACTAAATCCAGTCCATCAGCAGCGCCTGGCCCGAGCGATCGTTGCGTTTTTTGTGATTCGAAATGATGGAAAGTGGGAAACAGAAGGGATGGGAAGCGAAACAAATGTTACACCCTAGGTGCTCCTGTAAGCAACGCCCAAATAGATTGAAGTTCAAGTTTTTCCCGTTTTTTGTTTTGTGAATGGGAGAGTAGGGAAAGCTTGAACCCGTTGGCCTGCACGAGGCACGAGTGATGGGATGTTGTTGGGGAATCTTTTCGCGGAGTTTTTCTTCTTTTCGGGGGACGGGAAGATGCTTTCGAGTGGGTGGAATTCAGTTGTGTTGTTTGAAGACTTACCCCGCGAGCACGTATGGTGGTGTCCTATTTATAGTCTGAGGCAGAAACAGCGCCAGGTTAAGTGTCAGCATGAGGACACCTAACGAGGGGCATCTGACGTGCGGCACTTCGATATCCAGCGACATTTTTGTTGTTTGTGGTTCTCAGTCGTTGGTTGGTTCTGGGAAATTTTTGTTTCGCTGCCGATTCTCGGCCCTAGATTCTTGGACTTTCCTCCAAACGTTGGATCTTTGAGTTGTGTTTTTTTTTATTATTCAGCAGCTGAGGGTAGAGGCCTTGTTCCTCCTTACTGCGTCGTCTAATGGATGGTTCCCTCTGCTCCGATGGTGTGTCGGTTACTTTCTGCTCTCGCAAAAAGTGATCTCAATTCTCGTTTTACTTTGCTTGCGTTGATGTTGTTGTTGTTGTTGTTACTGCTGCTGTATTTTTAAGTTGGAAAATTGAGGTAAAAGCTGGATGTTGCTGTTGCTAATTTATGTGCTCTTTTCGGTACGTCTCATTTTCCCACAAGGCTCAGGATCAGGGGAGGGATGTGTGTGTTGTTCGAATTTGCTACACCCCTGCCGTTGTGGGTCTGCTCTGGCGTTTTCTGGTCGAACCTCGCTTTTCGCTAACCTCCAACCATCTATTTAAAGCACTTTTTCTTCTTCTCTTCTTCTTCGTCGCCGTCGTCGTCGTCTTCGACACTTCGCTACCACACACACTGAAGTTGCTTGCTTTATTGGTCACCCCAATTTCTTCGGTAAGTTGTTCATTTCACCGAGCGAATTTTCGCATTGCTAGTATATTAATGCCTTCGAATCGTCCTACGCTACTACAGCTTATCGAATACATTTTCTGTTATCCTAGGGAGGAGAAAGTAAGACAAGAAAAATGAAGAAAAATCACACTCGGCACTGAAAACTGGGCCGAAAGCTCCCGTCACATCGCAAGAAAATGAGGTTCCGAGATTTTCCCATTTGGCATCCAGTCACTGCACCAGTCATCATCCCCCATTGGCTCGAATTTCCATGGTTTCACCGAGTTTTCATCCGGAAAATTTCCTTCACTTCGGATCAGCTGCCATCACACCTAGTTTTCACCGAAGGGGCACTTTCCACATTTTTCACCTTACCGCACTAGGTTTTCGAAAAAAAAACGGAAACTGAAAACGGAAAATCCTTTTCCTGCGATTAAAACCGAACTCAAGGCAAACGGGCAGCAAACTGTGTCCCTTTTTCCAACAGAGTCCAGCTCCTGTTTTGTTCAACTGTTCAGAATTTTATGTAATTTCATTTCGCTTGCGAAAATAACAGCCATATCTGGCTGGATTTCTATCTCAGACTAGAATATTTTGGGTGGGACACACAAAAAAACTACACACTTGGAAAAGTCGCTCCCAAAGCTCCAAACTCTTTCTCTCCGGCACGTTTCAGCATTCGCCAACGATCATCCTCTGAGAGAAAGCTTTCGCACACCACCAATAGTCCGTCGTTGGAAATCGGGCCGCTCTTCGGAGTCGCAAGAGAACCCACCGAAAGCTTACAGCCCGAAATACTAGGAAAATCCTGGTCGCACGGAGCTTTTCCTTTGGTGTGCAAATTTGTTCCGTGTGGCACCTGCGCGATACACCGAGCTCCATCCAATGCCTTTTCTCGCACGAGAAAAATCCTTCCTTCCAATTTTTTTTTCTTCTTTCAACGAGGTGTTCCGCACCTTGAGCTATCGATCTACCAATCCCCGAAAAAAAAATCCAATGTCCTACCGACAGCCCCGACGAGAAAGATCCGATCAATTTCGCTCAAACTGCACATTGCACTACAAACTAATCACACAAACTCACTGCTGCTAGCTTAACACAACGACAATGCCTTTAGCTGCTACTGCTGCTGCTGTTGGACACTTCCAAGGAGCAACGATCCGGACCGTCCTTGTCCGCTGTGCTGGGTGCAGCATTTGGCGTTCTGTTCCATTCGCTGGAGCTTTTCTCGTACGACTGAGCGAGCCATCTGCCAGGGCCCGGCCGTGATCCTGTGTGTCCCCAAATCGTGCGTCTGTGTCTGTGTAAGCAAGAGCGCTTTCACGCGAGAGCACTGCTCTCAGGATCAGTAGTAGGTAATCGGCCGCTCATGTTGTGAAGTCCTAACCTACTACTAAGACCAGTACTACTACTACTACCACTACTAAAGCAAAGGGTGCGGGGGCTTTGGGGGGTATGTATATCGACAGCAAGGATGGGAAAAACGCTCATGATTACCTTTATACGCGAAACAGCACGGCTACTGCGAGGAGCAATGCTGGACTGGCAGGCTGGCTGGCTCGCCGCTTTGCTCGAAGAAGGATGGAATATCGTGTCAAAATCACGGTGCTTCGTCGCCTCACGGCGTGCTGGATGTGGGATACCAGGAGCAAATTTTGTGTAAGTTGCGACAATGATTTCTCAAACAAATATCGATACTGGTTATAAGGTTAAATTAAAGCAGGGAGGGATGGGAATTAGACATAAACATCATAGACCAATTCGTTATATCTTCCGGAGGTTGGTTAGTCAAACAAAATTCCAGTAGCTCAAGTCTTAACAAACTTCAATGCAAATTTTCAGCACAAACAACAACGGTTACAAGGTGCGTAATGTAATTACATTACATTGCTTAACTTTACTATTGATTCATAGACAACGATAATGCCAACATAATCAAGATGTTGAATCAATCTTGTCTCGAGCTTTTTAAAATCATCAAAATAAGCCAAACTATCTTACCTTACCAATCAGGCTAAGGCCTTGTTGTCCTCTGCTCTCCGATGAAGTCGTCTTCACTCTACTCGATCCATGGCCACACTTCGCCAGCCTCGTAATCTGCGAAGGGATCGCAGGTCGCTTTCTACTCGGTCAATTCTGTTAGGTCACGTTCGATAGATAGTCAACTTCGTGCGGCGGCGAATTTTATTCGACCGGAGCGTCCTCCGGAGTCCAAAAAAGACACGATTCCCTGCCATAATGCGTCTTTGAATTTCTCTGCTGGTATCCTTTTCGGCGGTCAAAGTTCCGTGCCATGATGTCGATGTCATCGGCGAAGCCAAGAAGCTGGATTGACCTCCTGAAGATCGTGCCACTCGTGTGTGTCCCAGCTCTTCTGATCACGCTGCTTTCCAACGCGATGTTATATAGTAGACACGAAAGTCCATCACCTTGCCGTTACCACCTTTGAGAATCAAAGGGACGAAAGTGTACCCTATGCTCGAACAACGCACATCACTCGTTCGATTGTCGCCTTGACCAATCGCGTCAGTTTATCCGGAAATCAGTACTCGTGCATAATCTAATCTCATCTAATTTAATACAAACGCAGCCAGTACGAGAAAGCATCCTGGAAAATGATTGGGTTAGATAACGCCTAATAATTTTTCTATAAATATGATACAAACATGCATTTGCATTTACCGCATAGATGATTCTGTGAAATGATTTGAGTTTAAATAAATATATTTAAACAGCGATGCATTTCGTGAACCTACAGGGGTGGAGGGATGCGTGGACATACCGTACCAAACGCTCCGAGCTATGTAAGAGTGAATGTAACAATAATATGTAATATAGTGCACTGGACAGATCTCACCAACTTCCTACAATGTTATTCAAATTTCTAATTTATACATAAAAATGGAATGATCGCACCAAAACTGGTCAACTTTCCCGGGCTCTTAAAAACTTCTATGAAATGTCACAAATGGAGACCTCCTTCGATCGATTCTTCAAAATGTAACTGCATCGGTCGATTCGATGTTGGAGGTTTAATGAAAATTTCGTAACTAACACTTGACCGGAGATCCAGCGGTTATGCGAGGGGGGCATCTGTAAATTACGTTGTATTCCGTGAACCCATTTGTCTAGGATACCGTTGCCCAGTACCTCCACTGGATCTTCATGTCCGCTATCTGTCACTGTTTGCAAAAATATCGTAATACTTCCTTTAACGGAAACAAATTTTCTCGCATTGCCATGGTCATCTGGGAGGAGGAACCCAGGAACCGTTCGTGGCATCTACCGCCCTTCCAGTCTTGGGCGTATCCAGCGAGGCATCCTTCAGATTGCTCGCAATCTCCAACACCGGTGAGATGCCAGCACCCCAGCACTTTAGCAAGCGGAAAACTTGCTGGTTCACGGCATCGTCGGCCACCAAATCACCACCAAAACAATTTCCCGGGCTAATTCGCCAACCGGACCGGGTTCAAACTCGCCCACGGGGACGAGACTCTCGATAGAACTACACGCCAAAAGTGTGGCATCTGAACTCGGAGAACTGGGCTACCGAGAGGCAATCCACTTTAGCACAATTTCACGAACACTTTGAAATCCGTACTTGTGCATAACATGCCCAAAACTATTACGAAAATTACGAGGCCTCATATCCCACGTAACATTGCGAGTTTTATTTTTTTTTTTTTTTTAAGATTTCTTTTTTTTTATTAGGTGTGACTTTTTTTTACGTCAGATTCTGGCCACTTTCCCGGTGGGACCCAGAACATGTGAAGCCAATGTTACCCTGGGTATTCAATATACTTGTTATTGAGCTTTCATGCGATATGATGCGTTTGTGGTCACTTCTTGAGGGGCTGCCGAGACATGGCCGGGTATGGCCAACCCAAGCAACACGGCTTGTCATAAAGAAGTTGAAAATACTTTGTAATGACTAACGCAAAGAATCACTAATACTTTAATAAACACCATTTAATACATTTATACAACCTAAAAAGTGCAAGACGCGGAGCTTATACAACTAAATACTGGTCTTATAACATGTTTTAGAAACATCATAAAAACAAGCGACAAAAAAAAACAATAAAAAAACTTGAGCATGGGATTCGATCACAGGTCCTTAGCGTGGTAGACTTGTTATTACCTAACTAGACCAACACCGCTTGATGAAAGGTTTGTTATAAGTATCTATCATGTTCTTGCCAACGGCATGAAAATTATTTTCTCGTTCAACACGCTTTCGATCCGTCATGAAGACGTTTTGTTAGTAGCAAAGCGTACATCTAATTGCCATTATGTTATTTAAACGTATTTTCAACTCCTTATAAGACAACCTGCACATTTTCATTTGTATTAATTTATGAGATGTCATAAAAAAGTATTTTCAACTTTCTGTATAACAAACCTCCGAATACCTCATAAGAAACTGTCAATCACTGCATGAAGAGACAGTCCGGCTCAATGGCACCGTCAATGTTTACGTCAATCTGGATTGATTTTGTATACGACAAGTTTTATAGTGGTATTAAAACAGTAAGATGCACGTTCAAATAACATTTAAAGATAAAAGCAAAAGAAAACTATTTTGGAAAATGTTGAATCAAAGAAGTATGAAGAAAACATCTTTAAACCTCATATATAACGTGGTATGTTTTCTGTATCTCTTATAATACATTTATACAACAAGCCGTTCTAATTCTTTTTCAAAAAGATGTTTTATGTGTTACTTGGGGTGGTCCATGGTACTAAATATAATCTCCAGAAAAGTATATTTTAAATTATCTTGTGATTTAATAAGTTGTATGAACGGTTATTGTCATGTCAGGTTTGGGCTTCCCTGAGGTCAATGGACTATTTATTTATATCTCATATGATTTTACGTGTCACATGATGTTTTTTTTAGCCACGTCAGAAACTGTAAACATCTCAGGGAACACCCGGAACATGTCCTAATGAGCCCAATATGTTTTTGGGAATTTTATATAACTTCCATTGCACTTGTTTTCAATTCTCATGTAATTTGATGGGTCACATGATAAGTTTTGGTCAAGTCAGAAACCGATCGCTTGCTCGGGGGGTACCCAAAACATCTCTTAATATGGCCAGTGGGGTCCTAGGCTTTCATTAAATACAATTGAACTTGTTTTTGAATTCACCTGTGATATTAGGTGTCACATGATGGGCTTTGAATCCTGGGTACTATGGACAAGAAATTAAAATTTAACAGCGATTGTATTTTTTAACATCAACGATGCTTGAAAAAATCATATTTTACTATTTTGAAGGTACACTCAAACTAATCCAATAGTCTTCCAATCAACCAGTTTTGTAAAGAGTAATTATTATTTGTGTTAACATATTTATGATTTGAAAAATTGTTAATACTGCTTACAATACTACTATATTGTCTCTAATGCACCTTTGCGGTTACGTACAATCCGCCTGCAACTTTAATTTCAAAAAGTATGTAGGGTCAGTAGTCACTTGTGATATGATATAGGCCACTGTATAACAATTTTATGAAAAAAACTGTAAAGTGTCTCATCGTTCCGGTCTTGATCTAACGCTTCAACGCCAACCATCCTTTTGCGAGCTAAAGGGTGTCTACAGTTAAATGCATCGCTTAAAAGTATTCGCCAAAAAAAAAGTCTCTCAACCAATTTTTATGAAATTTTCAGGGAATGTAATACTATATATTAGCATGGTTTACGTATCTTTATTTCACTCCTTTTCTTCACCAAATCGAAATGCCCGATCGTTCGATTTCTTAATTCCACCCATAAGGTTTTGTACAACGGTTGAATCGAATTTTTTTTTTCTGCTTTCATGCATGATTTCACACTTACTGTTCCGTAGTGCAACTTTAGGATGCTTACGGAGATTGTGCTTAATTATAGCCCAATATCTTTCGATCGACTGCAACTCCGGTTTGTTAGAGGGATTGAGATCCTTCGGCATGAAATTGACCCCATTCATCTTGTACCACTCCAGAGCGTTCTTGGAGTAGTGACAAGAGGTTAAATTCGACCAAACTGTAGGAACGTTGTGTGATTTGATAAACGGAAGTAGTCGTTTCTTCAGGCACTCATTCATTTAGACTCGGGTATTTATGGTTGTAGTTGTTACGAAATGCTTGCTCCTATTCTATAATTCATTGCGGTTTGGTACTTTCTGAACATTGAATGAACGTAGTCCTGCTCGTCCTCACCCCAAACAGAGTAGTTG